GCATGCACTTGCACACGCTTGACCCCGGTAAGGCTGTACCGTTCACCTTCACTTGGGCACAGACAGTTACCGATGAAGCGCTATGTTCCCCTGTAAACATTACAATCCCCAGACTGCTAAGTGGTTTCGTCTATTTCTGGGTTTTGACAGATAGGGTTTCGGGTTTTTGGTGTAGGCTTCAAGGTAGATAGCTGCAAGCTGGACTAAGTGACGAAGAGCTGTGCGAGTTGCTTTCAAGCTGACTCAACTTGGAAGGCTTGAAACCAGAAACCAGTCTCCCCAAATACATTGCGGCGAGCCATACAAGGGAGACGCGGACTCGCAGACGCCACTAGCATTCAGTGTTCCAGCGGTTTCCCTACGGGTCCATGTACCTAAATAGGGCATACTTGGGCCCCACACTCCCTACATAGCAGGTACTTTAAGGCCCAAGTACTCCCTATCTAGGTACATAAAACCCTTAGGGTTTAGGGTTTAGGGTTTAGGGTTTAGGGTTTAGGGTTTAGGGTTTAGGGTTCCAGGGGGTGCTCCGGGGCGTGCGGGCTCGGTACCTTGATCTGCCGGTCGAACTCCGACTCGATGACAGATGTCACGGCGCGAATTTGAGCGGACTCCTTGCCGAGTCGGGTGGAAAATCTGAGAAAAACCGCTCTAAACCCTAAATCCTAAACCCTAAACCCTAAACCCTGAATTCATGAACCCGTACTTAAGTACACCCTATAAACCCTGAATAAACCCTGACAAAACCCTACATTAACCCTGCATAAGCCCTACAAACTCTAAACAACCCTGCTCGGCCCTTGGTGATTTACTCAACTCCCCTAGATCTAACTCCTCACAAAACCATAGCAACACACATCTTCACAACTCCCTGGGTTTCTCAGAGATATCCTAGACCCTGCGCCCCGAAGCCTGATCCCTGAACCCTAAACTCCTAAGCCCTCAACCCTGAACCCTAGCTAGGTTGCCCAGTAACCTAGGATGAAAAAGGGTGCCCTTTTTTGCTTAAAGGGGTTTATAAGGGAACCTAAACCTACCAAAAAGGGAATAAGGGTACTACTGGGCATCCTAGCTAATTGCCCTACAGGAAGGAGACCATGGAGGTGTATGGAGTCCGAGGATGGTGCTGGTTTAGGCGGGTTTGGCGCTTATTCTAGCGCGTTTGGATTTAGGGTTCACGGTTCTAGGGGTTCAAGGTTGGAGTCTTCCTAGGTGCAGGTCTGTTTAGGGTTTAGGGTTTAGGGTTTAGGGTTTAGGGTTTAGGGTTTAGGTTTAGGGTTTAGGGTTTAGGGTTTAGTATTTAGGGTTTAGGCTTTAGGGTTTAGGGTCTCAGAAATCAGAAACGTAGAACTGACAACTGTGGAGGGCAGGGAAGGGTTTTGGGATGTAGGGGTTCAGCCTTTAAAGGTTTGGGGTTGAGGGTCTGGGGTGTTAGGATATGCGGAGGCTTTTTCCTCCGAACAGCTCGCGCAGTCTTCCGACCACTTTGGGTTCGGATCCTACAGTCTTCGCCCACCTCTCCCCTCGCGACTCACCCCTAAGCCCCAAGCCCCAAACCCCAAAGCCTCAACCCCAAACAAAGCCTAACCCAACACCTCTGAGACCCTTAATCTCAGGCCCCCCATGTCACTTCGGGGGAACAGGAGATCAGGTTGGGCTGCAAAGGTTTGGGGTTTCGGGTTCATGGTTTGCGGCTTAGGGATTAGGGTGTAAGGTTTGGGGGGCTATGGACATTCATAAGGCAAGGAGGGACACAACACGTCCAACAACAATGGTATTTCCTTTCGGGCTGGTCCCCCAATGGAGCTCATAGTTCTCTTCCACCCTGAATCCTACAGGGCCCAAAAAAAACCGCCGAAACACAAGGATTCTACAGTCACGGCCCTCCACAAAACCCTCCCTTTTGAGGGTCCTCATACCCCAACAGTCCTTATACCCCAACAGTAGGATCCTAGTACTTCTGTGGATCTCGGGCCCCGAAGCATACTGTTGGTTAGTAGGGAATGAGGGAGGTAAAGGATATAGGGGGATTTTGGGTACCCTATAGAATCCCCTACAGGGTATATATAGGTACCCTATATAATCCCTTAAAGGATCTAGGGGGGATTTTGGGTACCTCATTCCCTCATTCCCTACTAACCGGCTCAGCGTGGCGCCAGCCGGCCCTGTCGGCTCGCCTTGGCTTCGCTCTCTCAAGGTGGAGGGTTTAGGTTTTAGGGTTTAGGGTTTAGGGTTTAGGGTTTAGGGTTTAGGGTTTAGGGTTTAGGGTTTAGGGTTTAGGGTTTAGGGTTTAGGGTTTAGGGTTTAGGCGCAGCCTTTACAGGTAAGACCTCGCTGCTGACCCCTCTACAGGTACAGCCATAAGAAAAGGGACAAGCAAGGGGAGAAGGGTCAGTGAGTGCCTCAACACACGGCATCGAACCACCAAAACTAAACACTAAACCCCACGCCACCAGGAGAACCAAGGCTTTTCGCTGACTCTGGTCGTGCAGCGTCCTCTGATCATCAAACCTTACCGTCGGGGAGCGTGGAGTGACCAGGCAATGCCAACAACAGACTAAGCCTGTAAGCCTCTAACCTAAGCCCCCCGAAACCCTAAACCCTAAACCCTAAACCCCAAAACCCTAAGAGCAGGCCTCTGCGGCAGCGCTCTATGATCTTAGGGGAGTTACATGGTGCCCTCATACGGCCCTTATTTGGGGAACCCGCATATCCCCCTAATACACCCTAGAAAACCCAAGGGCCCATACTTCAGAACCCTTCAAAGAAGGGGAGACCCTTAGGCCCGTCTCCTGGACGCCAGGAGGCAGGCCCCCAGAATCTCAGGGAAATGAGCTCATGGCTTAAAATCCATGGGCTGAGGGCTTGCAGGGGTCTGCCAGGTTTTGAGTTAGGGGTTAGGGTTTAGGTTTTAGGGTTTTAGGTTCTAGGGTTTAGAGCTTGGGGACGATAGTGCGGAGCTTGGGCTATCAGCTGTATGTAGGGTTTATAGGCTGTTGGCTTACTTAGGCTTTCCGGCTTCGGGCTCTCAAATTCAGATCTAAATTTAACTTTGAGCCCTGCGCCATTCTGTGCTGATCTCCCGAAGCCCTAAGCCCTAAGCCCTCAACCCTATAAGACCTAGGCCTACACCGCCAGTTTCGTCACGAGCTCAGGTGACGGAGCCCAGTTGCTGCTTAGAGTGGGAGCAAGAAAGTCCTGCAATAACACTCTGCAGCTGAATCTAAAGGTCCTTCAAAGGAAACCGCGGTTTAGGGTTTAGGGCTTAGGGTTTAGGGTTTAGGGTTTAGGGCTTAGGGTTTAGAGTTTAGGGTTTAGCTTTCAGGGTTTAGGGTTTTCACAAGGGTTTAGGGTCTAGGGTTTAGGCTTTGTGTTCAGGGCTTCGGGTTTAGGGTTCCAATAGGCTTGTAAACGGAATGTAGGCTTTAGGGTTTCGGGTTTCGGGTTGAAAACAGGCTTATGAAGGACATGTAGCGGCTTCTTGGGCGGTGGAGATCGCCAGCCTTTGTACAGTTGGTGAGCCTTCTGGGAGGTTCGTGGGTAGTATAGGGGCCTGAAGAATTAGAAAAGGTGTTTTTTTTTTTTTTTTGGGGGGGGGGGGGGGGGGGGGGGGGGGGGGTATTATAGTAGAATTACAAAGGGGCCATAAGGGAACATTCTTTGTAATGATTCCGACCCCTATATTAGCTACGACTGGGGCAACAAATGGGGTATACACATTCTGCACACCGGCTGAAACTATAACAGCACTTCAAAGAATCACCACATGTTGCGGTTCTTGCGAAAACCCTCGGACGGCCTAACATAGGACCTTAATACTTAGAATATTGTGTTGGGGCTTTATTCTTCTAATACGGTTGTGGGCCGCTTCTTCAGTATGATTATACAGGGGCCATAAGGGAAGACTAGTAGTAATCAATCCGACCCCTTAGTACCCGTGAACCTTCACGTCGAGCATTTAAGAGAGCTGATTTCTGCACATGTAACCTCTTTGGCTCGGCGCAGATGCAGAACCTGCAGCGTGGCTATTGCACAAGGTGCCTGGGTAGCCCTAAACAGTAAACCATAGACACTAAACCCTAAAGGGCCCTAAACCCCGGTGGCTGACTCTTGCGCTTTGAACCCGCCAGAAACAGAATCCTCGAAATCATAAACCCTCAGCTTGAACATGAAATGCCAGCCTTTCGACGAGACACCCTAAACCCTAAACCCTAAACGCTAAAACCCTAAGACCCTCATGCGGTCACTTACCCTTGTTTATGGAGATCCGAAGTCTTGGGCCCTTGTTATATATAGGGTTTAGGGTTTAGGGTTTAGGGTTTAGGGTGCCCATACTGGGAACCATGGATTCACTCGAAGCACAAGGGCGCAGGACTTCGACGCCGTGCTCCTTGAGGATTCCAACCTAGATTGCTCCAAACCCTGCATCCCAGCATCCTCAGAAGGACACCCTAAGGCCTAAACATACACACTTGCACGCTTCCCTATGGCACACGCTCATTAACAAACTCTATCATCAACCCTACTTCACACAGCATTGAGCACCGTAAACCATAAACCCTAAACCCTACTTGCCCTCAAAATCCTCAACCCTACCTTCGTGAGCACCCTAAAACCCTAAACCCTAAACCCTAAACCCTAAACCCTAAACCCTACTTCATATATGCCATGAGCACACAGGCCCCTTCCGCCCACTGTCGACTCGGCAGTTTGTGAGGGTGAAGAAGGGACCAAGTGAACCCGAGAATTGGGTTTAGGGTTTAGGGTTTAGGGTTTAGGGTTTAGGGTTTAGGGTTTAGGGTTTAGGGTTTAGGGTTTGGGGTTTAGGGTTTAGGGTTTAGGGTTTAGGGTTCAGGGTTCAGGGTTTAGGGTTTCGGTTTGGGGTTCCCTTCTACTACAATAATTAATCCTTTACATAGGGTTAAGGGTTTAGGGTGTAGGGTAATAGTTAATCCCTACATTGTCGGGTATCGGACCTGATTTAGCTGCATGTACAGGGTTCACTGAGTCCACGGGGAAGGAATCGCCGCGAGCGTTGCGCCGTAACGCTTCTGGTCGGTGCTACTCACCCAACAACCTGCCGATCGTGAGGATCGTGAGGGCTCAGGATCTGGGGCTTTGGGTTTAGGGTCTTTTGGGGGGCCGTTAGAGATTCGAGGCGCCAGGTCCTGAACTAAACTCGCAAATCCTGGGCCTTGAGGGTACCCGAAACCCAAAACCCAAAACCCTGGACCCTTCTAAACCCCAAACCCCAAACCCCAAACCCCAAACCCCAAACCCCAAACCCCAAACCCCAAACCCAAACCCTGCTCCGGGCTTGGCTTCGAGTGTCACGGCCGTGTAGGGTTGTTAAGCCTGACTGAAACTTCCTTGAAGGCCAAATGATCCCTACTATCAGGGTTTTAGGGTTTCAGGGTTAAGGGTTCAGGTTAAGGCTTTAGGGTTTGGGGTTTTAGGGCTGAGACTTTAGAGCTGAGGGTTTAGGGTATCCGTTTAGGCTTCATTTGGTCCCCAAGGACATCTGCACATGGCCATGCTGGGGTTTAGGGTTTATAGGGTTTATAGGGTTTATAGGGTTTATAGGGTTTATAGGGTTTATATAGGTTTATAGGCATTTATAGGGTTTAGGGTTCAGGGTTTAGGGTAGTATGGTATTATGTGGACTCGACGGAATTCGCGTTTGCGTGGCACAGGGAGCTCCATATTCAACACATCACGTCCTATGCCTTCCAGATTCCACGGTTTTGGGGCCCAACCTTAGACAGGTTCGTTTGGGGTTTGGGGTTTTAGGGTTTTGGGGGGTTGGGGTTCTAGGGTTTAGGGTTTAGGGTTTAGGGTTTAGGGATAAGGGTTTAGGGTTTAGGGCTTAGTTTCCCTGCCATCTTGGAGGTCCTGTGCAATATCCTCAGTGCCCAAGACACGCAAGAAGCCTTGTGGTCCCTCTAGAGCCCCAAGACCGAAACCCAGAACCCGAAACCCTGCACGCCTAAACCCTAAACCCTAAACCCTAGACCCTAGACCCTAAACCCTGAACCCCTCCCGAACTCCTAAGTCCTACATACAGCACGCCTCCGCTCCCTGTTTGGTGTCGGTGGCAGAACCGGCAGGTGAAGTTCTTGCGTGTGCACTTGCCCTCAGAGGAAAGTTTAGGGTCATTTAGGGTTCTTTGACCCCAAACCCTAAACCCTAAACCCTAAACCCTAAACCCTAAACCCTAAACCCTAAACCCTAAACCCTAAACCCTAAACCCTAAACCCTAAACCCTAAACCCTAAACCGCAGAGGCTGTGTTGTGGAGTTGGGCTTTAACCCATCCTGGGAGAACTGGGACGTTGGGCTGTGGGCTTTTCTAGGCGCGATCTCTCTCCCTTCCCACCCTAAACCCTAAACTCTAAACCCTAAACCCTAAACCCCTAAAGCCCTAAAGCCCTAAAGCCCTAAACCATGCTCTATGGCTGGCGGAAAGGAAGGGCTTCGACGTGGGCATCTTGCCGAATCCTAGGGTGGCCCCCTTAGAAACCCTTTGAAAGATGTTCCGGAATAGGGTGGTTTCCGAAATGACTACTATTTGCTTAAGAACCCCCCCCAAAAAAAACATAGAAAATGATAAGCTTATAAGGAAGAATCTTCGTGTTTTTGTTTATTTTTTTTCTTGGGGGGGGGGGGTTCTTAAGCAATCGGTAGATTAGGAGTACCTGATTGGGGTCCTTATTGTAAGGGAATCCTACTACTTTGGGGGTCTGTTGTAGGGTCCCCTATGTTTCTAAACCCCCCCACATGATCCTCCTAAAGCCAAGTTTAGGGTTCAGGGTTTAGGGTTTAGGGTTTAGGGTTTAGGGTTTAGGGTTTTAGGGTTTTAGGGTTTAGGGTTTGGGTTTAGGGTTTAGGGCTCAGGGTTTAGGGGGCCAATATGACATGTTTTAGGGGCCTACCGAGTAAGGACTGTTCAGCAGAGCTGCATCAGTGTGTTGGCATGGTTCCCGGAGGCAGAGCTCGCACTCCTGCCACATCCCATGGTACGGGGTTTAGGGTACGGGGGGCAACCAAAGGAGGACAGGGAACAAAACAGTCAACCCCAACAGAAACCCTTGATTCCCCTGGAACAACCAACAACCAAACAACAAGACCCCAAACCAAGGGCACACTTTTTACGAAACCTTCGACCGCTTTGGTCATGGCTTGAGCCATAAGATTACCGGGTTCATTGACCCTTCAGCTTCCAATACCAACTCCTTTCTACAATACCAACTGCAGCTCCGCACTCCCCGTGTCCTAGGATTTCCTAGGACACATTGGAGGTGCAGATCTTTGGCCAAAAACCGCCATTTAGGCAGCAGCCAGCTGCTTGAAATGCACATTATGGTTTTACGTCATCCAGGACGAACCTTCAGCTCATTGGCCGAATCCTTCACCATTGAGGATTTTATCACCTCGCACTTGAAAAATTCACGTTCCCGCGGCCCGTTCCTCACCAAGGAACTCGGCATTCACCACCCAGCCGTCCTTGAGGCAATGCTTACAAAGCGTCTTAGCCCTGGGCTGTGAATATCGCAGAACATCACAGTCACTGCTTGCGTGCATACAGTTCCCACCCACTGTTGTATACAAAGTGGCACTCGCAGGAATAACCACCACTTTCTTAACCCACAGCCTTTTATACAGCTGCCGAAAGAGGCACCATGCCAACTCCCAGAGTATAATTGCTGCCACCAAATACGCAACAAGGTCTGAATTGTTGATAACCATTTCAATACCTTGAGCCAGAACCATCACCGTAGATGTGTTGGCGACCTTGCACACCCCTTCTTCTGAGCAAAAGAAACCAGCAGTTGACACTTCTTCGCCACCAGTTGCCATCCCTTGCAGAGATGCAGCCACCATCATGACCGCCATTGCAAGCGAGGCCCTCTTCAAGTCAGTCCCTTGTACCAACAGTCGGAGACCCCAAAGTGCCTTTTGCTTTGCATACACCTGTCCACTCATCAATTTGGTCAACAGGTCAGCGATCATATACTCACCGCGAAGGTGCGCGATCACCATATAACCACGGTCTACCAGAGACCTGACACCGGCTGCTCGAATTCTCAGGTGTCTTGTCCTCCAGCTTCCAGCCGGATATTGAATGATTGAGCATGTCGAAACCGAATCTGTATACAGCACTTTTTGCAGTGATTCTTCACCTGTTCCAACCAAAGCGGCAATTATAGGGGTGCACGACTGAATCATCGTTGCTCCCTCTATGGACGCATGTAATTCAGCTTCAGCCGCACTTAAAGCCACCGTTGATTGTCTTTGTGTTGCCCACATCACTGGACAATCACCCCACACCACCACTGCTCCTGAGTGGCTCTTTTCATTTTCACCTGCCGCAAAGCTGGCATCCGCGTAGGACTCCACCACCTTAACGCCTCGTCCATAACGCAACACCTCATTTCTTTCTTTTTCGCATGTTGCGATTGCTCCGAACGTCAGGCCTAACGTTGGAGTTGCAGCAAGGTATCGGAAAACCTCCTCAGCCTTTTTAACCACAAATCGCGGCCTTCGGGATGTCCACAAAGACAACTGGCTCGCGCAGAACGCCAAATCAGGTCGAGTTTTGATTGCCACCCAGAGGAACTCCCCTACGGCACCTTGAGCCGCTCGCAAGGAAGGAATATCTACCTCCTCTTCTTCACCTGGAGTTTCTTTCACCATTGGCAGGTTACTCCCTTTTCCAGTTTCATAGATCTGATACCCTCGTCGGTTCAGCAAATCTCTCACGAAGTCCTCCTGGTTGAGAAAGAAGCTGCCATTTCGATACCAGATTTGGACACCCAAAAACTTCAGGAATCCATCACCACAGCCTGGACCACAGAACTCGGGTTCAGAAGTTTCCACTCCTTCCTGATCTGTTCCAAGGCTTCCCGGAGCACTGTCATAGTCCCAGCCATCAAAAAATCATCCACGTAAAGACCCATTGTCCCTACCAACTTGCTTGCACCTTCCGGCTTCTCTTGCGCCATAATAAGGAACAGACTTGGGTCTGCATTGGACCTCTGAAAGCTCATTGCTTGTCCATCCTTTGACACCCAAGACATACCTTGAAGACGTTGGTCTCGCCACTCCACCCATGCTGCAGGACTTTCGGCCAAACCGTACAAGGCCTTTCTCACAATCCACCGCTCCTCCTTTGTGCAAAGACCCAATTTCACCGCCGCCCTTGGGGGCTGCACCACCACCAGACGCCCTTCTCTTTGCGCCCTATTCATCGGCGCCGTCAGAAAAGCTTTGGAAATGTCTAAACCAGCGATGATCCACACCATATATGCTGCGTGCCTCACTTGACACCTGAATGTAGTTGAGTCTAAACCTGGAGCGTACAGCGAGTGACGACTGAGGGACCTCGGCCCTTCATATTCTGTAGCTGCCGTTGACGAAATAAAATTTCCACATGCACAGATACGGGCACGTCGCCTCCCTGTCCCTTGCTTCCGGGTAAACACCACCAGACTGGGAACGTACTCAATCACCGGTGCATTAGGCTCTTCCGCCAATTTGTCCAGCTTTTCTTGAGTTGTTGGTTCCACCACCTCCAACTCTTTCACCAAAGACGTCACCTCGTCCGACAATGATTCCCTCCACTTTTCCAGCTCTTGCATGGCTTCTTGCGTAGGGATTGTTTTTGTTTGCAGGAACTCAACCTCCTCTGCTGCCTCAAGCGCGGTGTTTTCTTGTACCATTTGCTGAACTTGAGCTGCTTTGACCAAAAACTTCGAGAGCTGTTCCTCAGCCCTTTTTGCTTTAACCAGCCATTCTCTAGTCTCTGATCCTTTTTCCTCATTCGACTCAGTGGCCGATCCATGGAACTCGTCCAAAATGCAACATTCCTGTTCAGCAATTAGGCGTCGAATACTCAAATGCTCCTCTAGAGCCCATTGATGCGCTTCGAACACAGCGTAGTCGACTTCCTCTGCAAGGTCGTCCAGCGAGGTTTCTTTCAGCGTCATTTTTAACCATTTCCTTTTTTCACCTTCTTCAGCTTGTGGTTCCGGAAGAGGAAACTTACATTGGAGAAGATAGCACCTATCCTTGTAGCTCAAACGCTCCATAAAAGCAGGTGTGTACCCTGTCAAGGATACCCTGTTCCCTTTCCAAGGCATAGGGCCATGCAGCTTTCTCGGAAAGAACGACATGAAGTTCCAGTGGATATCCACCAATTTTCCAGGTAAGACTTTCTTCCCATAGGATTGCTCCACCACTTCAGCTCCTTCCTCTAAAACCTTTTCATCCTCAACCCACAGCTGACCATCTTTATAGTCACCAAAGCCACACACATAATTGCAGCAATGCTTTTCATTGTGACTATCCCTTTGCAATGACACCGGAGCATTGCACGAGATCTGAAGAGCAGAAAATTTGGCTTCAGGATTGTGGTGTCTCACGAATGATGCCAGATAACGACATAGCCATGGCCTTCTATAAGTCTCTTTTGTAATACCACACACTCCGCCACGAGTATAGTGGCCCAACACCAGAGCTCGCGTACTTGTGCACCAATTGTTAATACCACCTCTTCGATTCACCCTCTTTGGGTATACAATCCCTTCCAGAAGCTCCTCACAGTCCACGTAATCATACATAGACCTTTCATACATTGACTTGGCTTTTTGCTCTTCTTTTTCCAACTGTGTTCCATCCCCAGCAGTCTCACTTTTGAATAAGCATTTTCATGAGGAGAACAGCAAGTCGGCCAATACTCATCACCAGGAACATTGTCCTCAACATCTGCATTTTCTTCCAGCTCCCCCAGACCCTGCATGTCATCCTCGAAAATTTCTAAGGGCGGACTCTCCCCCCGCTTGCGAAGCAAGCGCAAGGAGCCCACATGACCACGCAGTGAAGAGGCCGGGCTTTTTTCATTTAACCGATGACGAACTGGAGGATCGCGAGGCGGAGGTAAAGGAGGACCTTCCTCATCAGCGAACCGAAGCGCCGGTTTTTTCCCCTTGAGACGATGCTCTGGAGGAGAAGGCTCCTGTTCTTCTACCACCCCTTCCAGCTCCAATTCAGGCGGGTCCTTTATATTGGAAAAAATCGTAGTGCAGGGAAATAACACCAGTTCATCCGGATCTTTTGCAGTCCCTTGAGCTTCCACCCAATAACCACCAGGTAGGTCATCGCATGGACCCAAAAGAAGCGCAGGCTGCGTACGATCGACCCATTGCCGACCTTTCTTTGTTCCATCCGGACCCAGCAACTCCCATGGACGACGTTTGACTTGAATCTGAGCACCAAAGGGAAGCAATGCTTTAGGATTTAACCCCAACTCCCTTTCAGCTTTCTGCCACCGTAACATTGACCAATGGCGAGCAGCCAGTGCCCAGTACGCCGGCCCGAGTCGCGCCTCCTTTAAGAGCGACCTGACACCACGTTTGAATAAACCCACACATGCTTCAGCGCGCCCATTTGTTTGCGGGACTCCAGGATCACCAGTGGTCCTATATATCAGACGAGTTTCACAAAAGGAGCGGAAGCGTGCATTGACAAACTCCCCCGCTCGATCTGAGTGGATTCTCAACACCGGATACCCATGTCTCTGCAAGCGCACCATCATCCTTTGAACTGCCGACAAAACAGTTGTTTGCTGTTTATCCACAATCGGCTCCACCATAACGAAGTTGATCATACGGACAGGTTGGGTCAAGTGGTCCTTCAGTTCCTTCCAGGATTTCTCAGAAGCTTGAATTTTCAACACCTCCGCTTCCAGAACTGGCGCAGGTTCCACCGGTGCCGAGCCTTCCTCCTCAAAGTTCGCGACTGCATCGCCTAACCATTCTCCAACACCAGTACCATCATCTGCCACCTGATCTTCCACCTCATCCGCATCTTCCTCCTTTTCTGGAGGGCGACCCACATTGGGATCCAACATTGGAAATTGATACACACCAATAACAGCGTGTCGTGGCTTCTGCTGGTGAGCATCCTTTGAACACTTGTATGGACCCGCTAAGTCCAATGATAA